CAAGTGCCCCATTCCGATTCAAGCGCAGACTGCTTGCCATCATCAACAACGTTGACTTCGAAGTCGTCGGCCATGTACCAGCGGGCTTCGCGAGCTATCTGCATAGAGGATTCCGCCCTCGTCGTTGGAAAGCCCGTCAAAGCCTTCCAGCCTGGTCCTGTGCGACGTAGACGCCTAGGCTCATTGCGCCCATTCTGATACGCGTCGGGGGTCCCACATCCGGGCTCAGCAACGGCAGCCGACTCAATGCCGGTGTGGGCGGGCGGTCAGCCCTACTTCTCGCCGCCCGCGTGCTTTTCGTGGGCCAGCTTCTTACGGTCCCCGTCGAGCTCTGCCTCCATGTTGGACTCCCATTCCTTGAGGGCTCGCGGCGAAACGTAGTCGAGGATCTTCATGGCAGGGACCAGGTGCCGGGCAGCGAGAAGGTCGTGCCATCCGACAACGTTCGTCATGCTTTTCGACAGCGGCTTGCCGTCGGCAGCCGGGCCCGGCGAGGGCAGCAGAATGCCTCGACAATGTAGGGGAGGCATATGCCCTGGAGCGGCGGGCCGCTGCCGGGGACGTAATCGCGCGGCTTGGAGCGTAGCGTTATCTCGATTCGACTCGTCGGCTTGTTCTTGCGCGGCCGAAGCTGCGTGTCTGAGCGAGCCGGAAGAGGCTTCGTCGCCATGGCAGAGTGCTAGAAGTCGTCGTGGCTGCGCGGTCAACTGTCGTGACGTGGTGCCAAGGGAGGCCGGAACGCGCCCGCCCATTCGAGGCCAAGGAAGTGTGTAGAGGCGAGACGAGCAGGCCGAGGGGGCGCAATGCATGCGGAGGGAGCGTCGGCACTGGCGACGAGGCGTGGCCCGAGCCGCGGCTTCATCAACGTTGACGAGGCGCAAGATGGGTGCCCCTGGACCTGCACTGTAGGTGCTTAAGTCATCTGCTAAGCTTCGATACATACCTAGGACTGACCTGGCTTTTTACAATCTGAATCATCACGTCGTGCCTAGACTCGAAGGGAAATAACCACGCTTTGAGTCGGCAACCACCCTATACGCTTTCGACTCCACAGGAAGTTCATGGCGCTGTGACATGTCAAGACTAGTGGCCGTAAGGAGGAAGTGGCCAAAGCGACTGTTTGCGTGTTTTTTGAACCCAAGATGGTAAAACGGACCGATGAAAGTGGTTCCAGCAGACTTGGAACATCTGACGAAATATCACCTTGCAAGTGACTGTGAATCCCTCGGGGAAGCCACTGCAGATGCCCAGCCAATTCTCATCGCTACAGGGAGGAGGCCATCCAAGACAGAACAATAATGAATCAACACTTTTGCACCCCAACTATCCCTACCGTCCCAATTGTCCCCTTTACACCCTCTGCCCAGCTCTCTTCGTGAGATGTCGAATAAGTCACTTCCTCCCAGCTTCGTCCGTGATGCAGAGACTCTTATTATATTCCAGGAACACGTCTAACAGCTTGATGAAGATTCTCGACGTTGGGGTTGATGGTCTCTTGGATACGTGCCGTCTCAGGCTTGCGCTCACTTGCAGTATTCGACTCATCTGCAGTAGTGACTGTCACCCCTATTCCTTTCACTTCAGCCAATCGCCAACCGTCGTCATGATAAATCACGAAGTCATTCTTACCATCGTCCTGAAAATGGGGCCGTTGAGCGGCTGTGGTGATATCGGAGTGAAAACCGGACTGTTCCTGGGTAGCCGAAGAACCTTTCGAACATGCGGAGGGGCCGAAAGGAGGAGATTCGGTTTGCGACATCGTCTTCCAGAAGGTCGAGTGTATGGTCAAGGCTGCGAATAGATCATATACAGTAGTGGGTAGAAGCTCCGGGAAACACAATATGATCTGGAGAGGCAAACATCCACACCATCAGTCTAGTTTGATGGCAGCTCACAAGCGGAGAGATGCGATGGGGGCCAAGTGCAAGCAGCATCACAAATAGCGGCCCTGAACCATACTTATGCCCCTGACCGCACTGGCCATAAACCACGGTCAGGGTGTCCGGCTGCCCCTGTGTTGAACGGGAAGTAGACTGCGCCTGTTAATGCATGTTTTTATGAATCGAGTTACTTGAAAGGAGGTTGGAAGTATCGCAATATCTCGCATTTCCCACCCTATGGGGCGAACCAGTAGGCTCTCCTTGTATCCTTGCTACGGGCGCAAGCATCGCCAAAAGCCCATGTAACGGGTCCAAGCCAGCAAAGCGAATAGACCTCAGGCCACCTTACCAAGGTTCCCCAACAAGGGGAGTGGCAAGTCGGTTGGTCGGTTGGTCGGTTGGCCAGTTGGACCAGGTCCTGGGAGCCGCTCACTCCCACGCAGGTCTTACAGAGGTTACCTTCTTCTTCCAAGGCTGATGCCGAGGAGGGCAATTATTCTTTGCCATGAAGCTTCGTACGCTGAAAGCTTCGCCACCTCCAGACCTTCCCATGCATATGCATACATGTTGGCACTTGGGGCCAAGTCGGAGAGAAGAGAAATCAGCAGGCAGAATTCTGCGTCACGCTCACCCCCTGAACCCCGCTGCAGAAGAGCTGCGGGCTTGTCCGTGTCATGCGGACGAGGCGGTCCGCCCAGTCACTCTTCGCCCTAGTACCTATTCGGAGGTTGGGTGCTGATGGATTTGAAGAAACCTCGGATGTGATCGGCGCGTAGATGCAGAAGCTGGAGGTGTCCTGGTCAAGCTGGGGCTGACTATTAGACATTCATTCCAGGAGGTGGCTTACAAGCATCAGTCAAGCAACAGCGGACTACTGTCCCGAAAGAGGAATAAGGGGCAAAAGACAGCTGGCCGAAAGATGCCATGGGGCGGCCAAAGTTGCACTGCAGAGAACGTACGGGATGATTTGCTGGAGCCCACATTAGGAGTCACGGAAAAGCTCATCTGGGACAGCTCGTTTGCAGTCGCGTGGAGGATAGAGAAACTTAAGCACCGGTCCACCCGTTTCCTCGGTCCCCCATCATTCTCGTATTCTTGCACTCTCAGAAGGCCAATGAACGGCAGAATCCCACAAAGAACCTCCTGCCTGCCATGTCGACTGACTCCCTCTCGACGTTCCAGGAGTATACGGATACGGAGTCGATTGCACGTGGACAAACTGGCCAACTGCGTGCTCTCGGCAGGCTTCTATGTCCTGCATCGCCAACACCAGAGGCTCTAGACACCGTGACCCAATATAAAGGCGCGAGCCGTGGCGACAAACGTGCGCAAGATGAGATTTCAAAGTCACCTACAACCGACACGCAGCCGACACTCGCACCAAGCGATCTTCGAGAGGCTCATCATTCTTTTCTCGTGGCGATGGGAAGGGGAACTGTTCTCCTGGACTTGCATTCCAGGTCACTTTGTTCAGTGCCTGCCATCGAGTAGAGGCCCACGGATCCATCGATGGCGGACATGACGAAGAAGTTGCACTGGATTTCACTCTCCCTCATCGAAAGCCAGTTAATATCACCATGAGATTTTCTCAGTATTCTCCTCGAGGGTCTTCACAATATACCAGGCAACGCAAGCAGAAGGTCCATGACGGAGTCTCCAGGAGGATCGGGCGGAATTTCAAGCGCCTCAGCGAAGATGGCTAACTCCTGAACCGGGGCACAGAAGGCAACGAGCCTACAGATCACAAAGGAGCAAGCAAGGGCCTTGCGAGCCTTCCAGAACAAACAAACGTATTGATTTCAGATTAAGTGTCTTCACCAGCCCCTGAAATGGTAATTGCCCCTAGCTGCCTCCTCCAATAGATATCTGTTCCACGAACCAGCGTTGCCTTCGCTTGCCTTCATGTGAGGACCCTCGGAAATTGCCTCAAGTTCGGCGTATCTTGCAATACGTGCTGACGATCGAATATGGTGTCGGTTGCGAATTTCACTTGCTGCCTTTCCCACACGAGACCAAATCGAAGAGAGTCAGCCAACTCATTCGCGAGCATGTTATGACGAGTCCTTCGTGGCGATAGAGGTGCTGCGGCTTTCCCACAATGCTTCATGGTTCGGGCCATGTTTGCTTGGCCTCCATTGCGCGTCGGGGTGCGCCACCAACCAGTGGTGCAATGCCTGCACAACTTCTCGTTCCGTACGGTCCAAGTCTCGGGCGCAAATTTGATCGCCCAGCATGCCACTCATGGAGGAAATTTTGTGAACAGTTTATGCTCAAAACACCTGTCCGTTGGTTTCAAGGGTATCGCTGCCCTCTTTCATGCCCATGAACCGATGTGTAGGTATTTAATTGGATTCCGCTCCTGGGATTTTTCGTCTCTTCCCCCTCACGACTTGGGCGGGGAAAAATTGCGGCCCGATCTTACCTCAGCAAAAGCCCGGGCCTTTTCCAAGAGGAGTCTAGCCCTGTTGAGAGCAAGTCACGTTACTTTCACAAATCCTCGAGAATATGCCTTAGGATCCTGTCAAACGCGCGCACTGCGTTGGGCTATTGCATGTGTTTTGTGCATTTTTGAAAGTCACAACATTCCTTTGAGTCTATTCAATTTGCAACCGCACTTGCGGGACCGCCTCCTGCGAAGCCCAGTCCCTTCTGACGGCTCTGGCTGGCCGTAAGAATCGTACGGTACTCAAGTACGTAGCGTGTCCTCCGTGCTCGACTTCCTGAAGAGCCATTGCGTTGAACAACACCAAATTCGTTCGCCTTCGCGAAGTGGTGATGGCGACAAATAAGCATGCTATTTGCCGTCAGACGCTTTCCTTGAAAGCTGACGGCATCGAGATGCGATGAAGAGGAATCACAAGACACGCTCGACCAGCATACCTGCTTGGCCGGCAAAGCTCTCTCCGCAAAGACGTGGGTAACGGATCTATATATCAGTCCAGTCCCCAACCCTTTCCGGGTCCTAGCAAGGAACACCGCCACTTGACATCAATTCTTGTTTCGTACGGAATTCTCTGGTTGGTTGCGATTGCGGCCATGTTTTGCTGTGTGGGTGGAGAATTCATGTTCCAAAAGGGTGGCCAAGTCGGGAAGAATTTCAGGCGAGTCACGTGACATAATATGGTTGCCGTCTCAACTGCCTCTAGCCTTTTTGTAGCCATCGTTCCCACGAAGGTTGTCGTCAACATCAAAAACACCCGTTTAGCAAGTTCCAGCCAACATCAATACCACATGCAGGAAACAAAAAAAATCGAGGAGCTAGAGAGGCGACTTCGTGAGGCGGAAGAACGCATTGCAAGCGAAAAGCAACGCGCCGAAAAGGAACAGCAACGCGCCGAAAAGGAACAGCAACGCGCCGAAAAGGAACAGCAACGCGCCGAAAAGGAACAGCAACGTGCCGAAGAAGCAGAACGAGAGCGTCAACAAGAGCGAGATCGTGCCGAGAAGGAGCAGCAACGCGCCGAGAAGGAGCAGCAACGCGCCGAAGAAGCAGAGGAACAGACCCGACCGACCACATTCGACGAGTACATCGCTGCTTGTCATCGCCATGTCTTTTCCCAGTTCACGGTGGAAAGAGACCGCAGGCTTACGTCAAGGGGTTCTATCACCAACCCCCGAAATAAGCTATGCCCTACTAGTCTTGAGCCTTGGCCACGCTTCCTGGAACTGCAGGGGAGCGTTTTCGATACTCTCTACGAATGTCTGCCCGTCGACATTCGTGTCTTCGAGAGCCAAAACTTCCTAGCCGGTCTAGGAAGGAGAGTGGCGCAGCGATCGATAGCAGATGAGAAGACGCTGGAATACTTCATGCATAATAGTGTCGAAGATCCTGTCAGAGTCATCATGGAGCAACTCAGGCAGATTGACGAGGTGTGCGACGCATTCGACATGGGAAACGGGATCGTCTTCGAGAACCACCCTCACGCCATCAGCGACGTCGCCGAGGAAGTAGTCGCCCGGGAGAACCCGTCAACACCGCCGCAAGCACCAGACCACCGACGAGATCTTCATCAGCTACGGCCCGACCAAATCTGCATTTATCGGTCAGGTGATGACCCATCCCCGGAGAAGCGGACGATGATCTACGTGTCCGAGTATAAGGCACCCCATAAGCTCACAGCTCCGCACCTCCGCGCCGGACTACGGCCGATGAATATCTACAAGGAAGTCGTCAATCGGAAGACGATCCCGCCATCTGTGGACCCGGACGGCCGTTTTGAATATCACGCCGAGAGACTGACGGCGTCTGCCCTCACACAAACGTATCACTACATGATCGAAGGCGGTCTCGAGTACGGGTTGCTGACAACTGGCGAGGCGACCGTCTTTCTCAAGGTGGACTGGGCCGAGCCTGAGACGTTGTATTATCACCTGGCAGAGCCCGGGCCGGAGGTGTTGGCTCATCCAGAGCATATGCAGTCTAGCTCCGCGGTGGGGCAGTATCTCACGTTCAGCCTGATGGCGCTAGGTAGACCGGGCGGACGGGTGGAACATGGGCAGGATGAGCGTGATCGGGCGACGGCGAATCTCAACAGGTGGGCGGAGGATTTCGAAGTGACACTGCGATCGATTCCCGAGAGCGACCGAATGGCATCGGACAGCGCATCCAGCTGGGCACCTACGACATACGAGGACTTTGACCGGTCGCCGATTACGCGGCAGGGGAGGAGACGCCGTCGAGGTAGAAGAGGCGACGAGCGCGACACAATTGCGACTAGACGAGATCAGTCGGAATCATCGGACGACGAGTCGGGATATCGGCCTCCGGATACGCCGAGCCCCTCTGAGCGGCAAGGAGGACGTGGACAACGCGGACAACGTGGACGAGGCGATGCAAATGTGCCTCGACGAAGTCAACGAATCCTGGCACGCCGACCCCGCCAAGGGACTGATGAGGAAGTGGAACGGCGGTACTGCACCCAAGCATGCCTCCTTGGACTGGTTCGGGGAGGTACCCTCGATCCTCGATGTCCCAACGCGGGGTGTCATGGCGGCCCTCGAGGATGCACTCGCGCACCACATCCGATCAGTCATTCTACATGGCTGCAACTTTTGAGTGAGCAGCTGCGACAGACGCTGGATGCCGGGATCACAAAGCTAGGAAAGCACGGTGCTCGAGGAGTGCTTTTCAGGGTGACCCTTCTGTCGTACGGCTACACGTTTGTGTGCAAGGGCACAGTGCAGGCCTTCATCCGGGACCTTGAGCATGAAGCAGCAGTCTACAAGCGCCTAGAGCGGGTTCAGGGCGTCAACGTACCCGTCTTTCTCGGAGCCGTAGACCTTCGGCCGCTGAAGAGGACCTACTACTACGACCATCGGGTTTACGTCGTGCACATGACGTTTCTTTCATGGGGAGGAGACGTGATTGACGAGGCCAAGATCGCAGCCAGCACGAGAAGAATCCTCGAGGCCAAGGCGCTTGCATCCCTGCGGGCGATACATGAGGAAGGTGTGGTACACAAAGACGTGCGAAGCGCCAACATGCTGGTCAACAAAGAGACGGACGGTGTGATGATGATCGACTTTGAGCGTGCTATGTTGCTTGAACTAGTGCGACGGCCACTTGCGCAGCTGGTGCCCAACAAGAGAAGATTGGACTCGGGCAACACGACAGGTTCAGGGAAGGGCAGAGCATGCAAGCGGCGAGGTGCGGGAAGTTGTGGATTCGCAGAGGATACTCTGATGGTCAGGACAGCATTCCTGGGGATGGAGGACGGCCATGAATGAGAAAGGACGTTTATGATCCAACGTGATGACGATGGGCGACGAATGCGTCTACTACTACTGGATAAAGGGTACGCTGTAATAATATATTAATATTCGGAGTGGCTGTGTGGTACAGTGATGACCTCAATTCAAGTATCAACTCAAGTATATCAAGTAAGTCAAGTAAGTTGACTGCTCAGTGCATTTCAAGTAAGTAAGTTCACGATGCCCAAAACTTGATATACTTGAAATGCTAGATTTCGTAGGATTTCTTGGGCGACGATCTGTCAACTATTTGAGGTAAAGAAGAGAGCAGTCTCCAGTCAACTGGAGGAGGCAGTGACAAGGATTAGCTTTAGCTTTGACATGTGGACTTCTCCAAACCGGTACGCTTTCCTTGGCCTCCACGCTCACTATCTCAAGTTAGGGCCCCATGTGGCTGAGCCCAGACAAGGAACGGGACAGGGTCCAGTGGGTGGGCACTCTGTCGAACGGCCTCATCCCGGCAGGGTGCCCTTAGCCGTGACCACCATGTGTCACCATCTCTGAACAGGGGGTAGTCTTGACGGCTCACACATCATGGCGATCGATCACCCGCAGTTGAAATAGGTTGCGGGCAAAGGGTTTCAACCCTGCCGCAGCTTGAGTGGCAATTAGCAGTCGGATTAGGAAGTCTTGCTAAGGGCATCCGCTCTGGGGTTCCCTGATCATGCTAGAGAAAATCCCTTTCGAAGTCTCTACCTTCCCGACAATGAGGAACCCAGATTTTCGGTACAGTGGAACAGCGGAGGGTGATGCCATGACGAAAGCAGGGCAGTGCAATTGCTCAAACCGATTGCAGGCATGCTTGCAACTCTCTGAAAGCCCCGGACGTGCGTGGCCTTGCCTGGCGCGTTGAGCAGCCGAGCCCGTTATGTGCCGCCCATTCGGCAATGGCCGTCCCGTATCTTGCGCTCCGCACTCCAGGCGGCCAGAAGCAGCGGTAGGCGTTGATGTCACCCGCGACAAGGCATTTGCCAGGGAAGGAGTTAGTCAAGTGGCTCGGGGGTCCCCTCGTGTCGGTAGAAATTGATGATGAGGATGCCGTTGACCCGAAGCCAGAGTATATCGCGCGTGGGTATGGAGCAGATCTGCTCTACTCGGATATTCGCATCGTTACGGGCGTACGACATCACCCTCGGGGCCTGGTCTGGATCCCATGCTCGTTCTGGCGCAAAGGCGTGGAAGGTCTGGTGTGTCTGGATCCTACATGTCCCGCTCTCTTTCTATCCAGAAGTTCGGTTTCTGGATAAGCACGATGTCGTAATCTTCTGCTTCTGCTAGTCGTAAGGCCATGCTATGATAAGGCTCTGCTTTGCCACGTTGGCCTGGAGAACTCGGATAGTCCTCCTGTCGCGGGTTCTTTGTCTCGGGGACTTGTTACTCATAGGGATCCGGGCGCGTGCTCTGTCGACGTCTCTTTTTGAGAGACTCAGGGCTGTATGTTGCGACCACTATCTCGTCCTGAGGTGGAAGAAGCGCCGTGGGGTCGGGCGCTTGCGCGCTGGAGGGAGGCGGCCGCTGCATCTGGCGGGCCTCGACGGCTCTTGCGCAGGGTGAAGGGTCGGTCCTTGGGATGACTGGGGAGAGGTGGTTGGCGCCAGCCGTTCGAGTTCCATGTTGGTTTGCCGATATAGCCGGGAGCCCATCTTCCTTACTGCGTGCTTTTCGATCTTAGACAGCCGCACGAGTTGGCCGTGTGAGCGCCTGGGTCTGGCAGGGCACTGCTTGTGGTCTTCCTGGAAGGGCCCGAAGCAGTTCGCGCACCTCTCCGGACGATCACAGTCGTCACCGTGGTGGTCTTTTCCGCCGCAGCGTCGGCACGCCGGTTTCTGGTCGCAGATAAAGCGGGAGTGGTACCTAGTCCAAGCAATTGTCACATTGGGTAGGTCGGGGGTTCTTGGTGATCGGTCGCGCTAATCGGCCGGTGCCGAAGAGTCGCCATCTCTTCTGTATAGCCGCCTTGAATGACACAATCATCGTCACGGTAGGCCGGTCTGAGCCCTCGGCGTGTCTCTTGGCTTTCGTGAACGTCTACTGGTTCCACGCCTGTCTGCAGCTTGATCTCTTCTCTGATAGCTTGGCCATAGTCTACTGCAGACCCCCAGATATCCGTGAGCTGCCTGGGGCAGTCGGCCACCGTATAAGTGTGCCAATTCTGGAAGCCTTCAACCGCTTCGGTTCCGAGGCAGGCCGCCCAGTCGCCCTGCCTTTCAGTCAGCAAGTCCCTCGCCTCCCGGTCTAAGACACGAATGGCCCATCCGGTCTTCACTCGGGCGACTTGTGGCATGCCTTCTATATTGAGCGTCTTGGCTACGTGGGCTCCCCTGGTGGCCCCACGATGGGGATCCGTCAGTGAGCCGCACGAAGACGCGCTTAGGCGGCTGGACGTGTGGGGCCATCCGAGGTTGTGGGTCGGGCGGGCCGGCAGGCCGCCCCTGACTGCGCCATCCCCTTCTGGGCCATAGCGGCGTAGGTCACTGCGGTAGCCGCCGTCTCTTCCGTGGCTGGCGTTCTTGCCCGCGCGTGTGGGCGCGCCGTTGAGCGCGTCGTCACAGTAGCTGAGGAAGCCGCGCGAGAAGTCCTTGGCGAAGTTGAGCGCGTGACCCGCATTTGGCTAGGCCAGCACACCGAGTACCTAGGTACCTTTTTTTTTTTGTTCATTACGCGTATGTGGCCGTCTAGGCTATGACGCGGCAGGGGCTAGCCCCCTGCAGCTAGCTAATTAATAGCTAGCTTTGCAGAGTATATAAGAAAGAGACCGGTAAGGAAAAATTGACGGGGTCAGTCCTTTTATTCCCACGCTTTATTATTTACCCCTGAGTACCTAGGTACCTATATACCTGCCTCATGCTCGCCGCGCTGCGAAACAAGAGCCGTCGTGACACGGGGCACAAGCAAAAACGCATCTCGTCGGCCGGTCCACAGTCCCCGCAGCCTTGTTCACGATACGCTAACCCGCCGATACATGGAGGCGTCCTGTGGCTGGCCCCGTGATTGGCGCGAACCCCGCCAGCGCACCTGGCCCGAAACGAAACGGAGTCCTTTCGGGGAGCATACAAGTACCAGCCCAGGTCTCCAAGGCGTCCTCCCCCAGCTCGCTCCCAACTTGGAGAGCTTCACTATACGGATAACAGGCCTCTCTTGTCACCATGAATGACAATAGCGTACCGACATCCACGATCCCGCACCCGGCCAAGCCTTCGCTGACGATACACAGAAACCAAAGGTGGGCGAGATATGCTGGCTCGAGATCCCCGTCCACGACGTTTCTCGAGCCCAACAACTCTACGGCGATGTTTTCGGATGGGTCTGCCAGCCCGAGGGCGTTCCCCACGGGCGCAACGGCATCCAGAGCATGCACTTTTTCAACAAGGGCGCCGTCCACGGGGCCTTCCTCCTCGTCATGGAGGGCTACCAGGCCGTCAAATGGCAATTGATATACGGGCCCAACCACTTTACTACACGGGCGCTCCTTACACGGGCTGTATGGACGACCGGCCAGCCCCACCAACACGGCCCGTCAGCCCACCAAAGGCGGTGAGACCACCACAACACACGCATTCGCTCACTAAGATGACATCTTCTACCGCTAATCTGATAACCTTGTCATCACTACTTCAATGAATTAATACGTCGCTATAATCCCCACACTCGGCGTCGGAGAAGCCGTTCCACTCTTCGTACTCCTGTCCATCTTGGCTCAACGATGATACTAGTGGAGTGGGCGACGCAATACGGCCGTGGCAATCGTCTCCACGTTCCCAAATAGCTTGCCGTGGGCCGGACGCTTCTCGACACTTGGCCAACTCGCGAGCCAATAAGGAATCTGTCTCCGCCAGCTCCCAGGCCAAGGTCAAGGCAGGCTGGAAGCGGGCCACAACCTGCTTGCGGGCATCGACTTCCTCCACCCTCAAGAGGCAGCGTAGACGCTGTCTCTCGAGTTTGTCTGCATCAGGAATTCCTGTGGTGAACAACCGCCGAGCCCCACCTCCTCGGAAGCTATCATCCAAGAATATTTGTGACTGACGTAGTTTCCACCAGGGCTCGTCGACGCCACGAGAGCCGTGTGGTCTTGGCAGGCTAGTGAAGTAGCTTTCTGGCCATGTGGCGAAGAGATTGTATAACGCATCATCGTCGTTAAGGCCGTAATACGGTTCAGGATTGAAAGGAGGCTGAGCCCGAGCCCGTGATGCAAGTCTACGGCGCTTGCATGGAGGCAAGCCCGGAAGGGATCTACTACAGCCGTCGCCGCTGTTGGCAGCAGTTGGGTCTTCGTGCAATGTCATGCCGGTTGGTGCTTAACCGAATGATTGCTCAGACGGAAGGTTGGTTGTGGGAGAGTTAGTTGTCACTACAGAACTGGCAGCTGGGATGTCACCCCCCTTCTGCCAGGTGGTGGGGCTACAGACCCTGCCACGTGCAAGGACCAGGCGGCAGAATTTTTGGCCCAATTAAAAACCGCCGCCCGTGTAAGGAGCGCCCGTGTAGTAAAGTGGTTGGGCCCGTATATCAATTGCCCGTCAAATATGGCCGGCTCGACAAGGAGATCCTCCCGCCGCTGCCCACCTTTTGCGTCGACGATTGTGGCGAGACGCTCACCAAGGTCGAGGCCCATGGCGGAAAAGAGCAGTGGCAAGTCATCTTGTGCGTCGCGATTTGGACATATGCTGACTGCGCCAATTCACAAGCCCCAAGACGGCGATTGGAGGAGACATGGGATACTTTGCGCGCTTTACCGACACTGAGGGTAATATCATCGGCATTTGGTCACAGAAGTAGCCCTCTGGACACGCAGGGTCCCGTTGCAACAGCAGCCATAGAAGAATCATCTGTCGCACGACCGCCGGTCACCTAAGGCAGGCTTTTAATCATACGCCATACGCCATACGGACCTATATGGTTTATGGTGTATGATTTATTCTCGTATGGTGAACTAAAACCATATATTGCCCATACGGGAAATGATGTCAAGGCTCCATGTCGTCCCCTAGAGTACAGGTGCTGCCCTCCTTTGGCAGGGACCCATATTGTTCGACCTCCTCTGCCTGTAGCCCAGCTGTTATGCCGCTGCGAATCCAGCTCTTTAGCACTCCCCTTTTAATTGTCGGTGCTCCAAGGAGCATTCGATCCCATGAAATCGTATGCCGTGCTCCGGAAAATGTACGCTCGGGATCAGCAGACATGGCGGGTAATGAGAGAATGTCTATTGCCACCTTTGACAATCGAGGAAAGCGCCGCTGCTGTTCATCGTGGAGCCACCAGGCAAAGTGGGAGCCGTCAATTGGAATGGGCGCCCTACTGAGAGGTGTAGGTTTCTGTCGATAGACTGTTATTCTGGTACTCATGAGGTAGGGGCAGCACAAGAAGGGATAAAGATGCATGATCTAGCTAGAAAGAATCAGCCACAGGGCCCTATTTATGCCGTAGTCAGAGGGACCCTCAGGTGACTTACATAGGCACCAGACTGGCCCCATACGTGAGGTCTTTATGGGTCCCCGATACATGGCCTCATAATGATCCTTCAGGTGGCCCTCCCTTGATCCTTCAGGTGACCTACTAACAGCGGTGCCTATACTAGCCAACAGTTTCGTAGTCGTCAACGTCGGGTCTCTGTGCCTATAACATCAAGTTCCTGCAGCATGGCGAAAGCCTCAGAATCGAGGAGGAACTTTTCGATGCTTTTCGCGCTGACACGGATCCGATGAACTGCAGAATGCCGAATGTTGGCGATAGAGCGGAAAAGCTGATCGAGCGGCTTCTGACCTGGCTGGGCAGCCGGAAAAAGGCTTTGTCTTTGTGAATTCCTCGGTCCAACGATTCAGCTCCACCGACTCGGCGCAATCCCACCAACGCTGTTGCAAGACTTGATGCATCTTTTGATTCCCGAAATTATAGCAAGAGGACGCCAAAAGATTTGAAGATGTACCAAAATCCTATGTTGAGCCTCGAAAGGAAGATAAACTGGAAAGAGCGGCGGTACCGAGGTTGTGGGTCAGGGCGGGCCGGCAGGGCGGGCCCCCTGGCTGCGCCATCCCTTTCTGGGTCATAGCGGCGTAAGTCGCTGCGGCAGCCACCCCGTCTCTTCCGTGGCGTTCTTGCCCGCGCGTGTCGGCGTGCGCCGTTGAGCGCGTCGGCAGAGACCGGATTTCTCTCGGTGCGCGCTGGCCTTTCCCTGAGGCCGAGACGGCGCTGGGCCCGCCCAGCGGCAGCCAGTGCCCCGCCGCCCTCGGTGTAGGCGGCAGCCAAGTTGCCGCCGCACTCGGTGTCGGCTGAGGCTGGATATCCCGCGGCGCGACTCGGCCTGCGCTGATCCTCCATTTCCCTAGTCCTGGCGGTCTTCCCCGCCCTCGCCTCGGAGGCGCCTCCCTTGACGCCTCTTCTTGCTCTCTCCGAGAGGCGCCGCGACCGAGTGCCGGCGCTGCTGTGATCGGCCGGATCTCTGGTCCTGTGTACGGCGCTGCTCGGGCTTCTGGCGCCGGGCTTGCCCTGTCACCCGCTCCGGACTGGACCCTCCCGTTAGCTGGCTTCATCGCGACACCGGTCTACCGAGGCCCCCGCGGACCTCTTGTCTTCCTCGCTTGCGCTGCCCTCTCCGGCCCCGCCTACTTGCGGTGCTACTGGGCTCCCGGCGTAAATCCTCGTAAGTGTAAGTGTAATAACGGCGTATAAGTCCTTGCCTCGACCATTCATCCTGCACTTGTCTTGCTGACTGGCACCCTCCTGTGCGTACAGGATCCTCTAGGAAAGTCTATATATCTTACTCGTAGCTCTCTAGTACGTCTACAGGCGTGCCGCTGCTCTTTACATTATACCGGCGCCGCCTTTCTATCGAGCCCGCCCGCTATTGCCGCCGCCTTCAGCGGCGGGCTATACGGCCTCGGCCGGTCCTTACATGTAGGTCGCCAAGACAGCTTCCTCTTGCCTGTGCTTTGCATGGTACACTTTTCCGTCTAGTCATCTAGGTCTTGTCGGTCAAAGCCTCAGTACGCCCTAGACGCTCGCCTGCTGAATTTTGAACCCATGTCTTACACGTGTTGCGAATAAGCCTGCCTCCTTCTCCTCGAACATAGCTTCGCGCGTCCTGCTTGTCTTAAAACCCTACGTCTTACTAGACCGCCTTTCGAGGTTTCCTCTTCTCCTCTTGTCGCATTTTTCTGTATACACATCTTATAGACCTCCTTTATATAGGCTCCTTATCTTAGCCTACCGCTAACGCTACGTTGCGTCTTCGTTTAGTATCCTTTGACTTCTCTTATACACCACGGCCACCAGCCCTTCCCTACTACACTGAACTCTTAAGACGGCATATTGGTAGGGAGCACTCCTGCCCCTATTCCTCGCCGCTTCTAGCTTCGCTCCGGCAACGTTGCTCGTCCACTACACGGCCTCGCCATGTCTTCGTCTCCGTCGGCGGACAGCTCTGCCCCGCACCTCCGCAAGCCCCTTGTCACTAGCAAGGGCGCGGGCGGCGACATGTCCATGATGTTCTTCGCCCAGCCTGACTGCCCCGCGAGGTTTGCCCACCGGGACGAGCACCGCATCAGAGGCCTTAACGCCGAAGCCATCGCCCGAGTCCTCCTGCCGGTGCCCTCGTGGCTGCTAGAGTCGGAGTATGCAACCCTCCGGGCCGAGGGCGACGATCTAGGACCCTCTCTCTTCTTTAGCCTAAACCTCTCCATCTACGGCCAGCCAGTCGTCGATACAGACTGGTCCGAGCAGTGGTTCTTTATGAGCGGCCGCGTTCACCCCTACGCCCTCTCCTGGGAGGTGGAGCGCCGCGACGGGCTCGAGGCCGGCCCGGACGATACTATTCTCTACACCGTGCCCGCCCTTATTGTCCGCGACCAAGGTTACCAGCCGTGGGCCCCCCTCCCCTTTTCATTTTAATGCGCCTCCTCACCCACCGCCCCGCTGACTTTGCCCCCTAGCGTCCTGCCGCGCTCCTTGGCCTCTAGCGGCCAGTTCCCGTCTACGCCTCCCGTTGTCTCCTTCCATGGCGTCGTAGCCGGGCCCGGCCTCGACCTCCTGCGTCGAGATTTCCTGCCCAATCTCGGGCCCGACCAGCTCCGCTGCTGCGGCTTCGTCCGGCTCACGACCTACATCGCCCCTGGCCTGCCGGACAGGATTCCATATAAGGGCTACCACCCCTTCGAGGTCTTTGTTATCTTTCCCGTCTACGTTAACCCTTGGGCCGTGCTATGCAAGAAAATCGCTGAAAAGCCTAACTCTTCCTTCCTGCCCGGCGTCCCCTTTACCTGCACCGGAAAGGTCGTCGGCCTTCTCGACCACCGCGTTATGCTCTCCCCCCCGGGCTCGGAGCGCGATTACGTCTTTATCATCGTCCCGGACAGCTGGACCTTTGTCGATCGGCCCTCGGCGGCCGCCGCCGCCGCCTCGGCTTCCCCCCTCGCTACGCCCTTTAGGCGTCAGACCCAATCCGCCTCCTCTACCTTCGATTCCGTCCGTGCCGCCTTGTACTCTGTTGCCGCGCCGGCCTCGACCGCGCCGCCCCCCCTTTCCTCGGCCCCGGCCCCGCCAGCCCTCGACCCCGTCACGCCGCCGCCTAAGCGATCGCCCCCGGCCCTGGCCGATACGCCCATGAAGAGGGCGCGCTTCCTGCAGCAGCAGTATTCGCCGCTTTCCTCGTCTTCGAACACCGTCGGCTCCGCCGCCCCCTCCTCCTCTCCTCCGCCGGCCGCTTTTCCGTCTCGACCGGACGGCGCCCCACCCGTTCCCGCTCCGACGGCCAGCCCGGATTCCCCTCTCAACTCTATCGTCGCGAGCACCTCCGACCCGCCCGCACGCCCTCTTCGCTATCGCATGCAGAAATAAGCTACCTACTATAGACCCATCGCTCTCTTAAGCCTCCTACCTTTACTAAAACGAACTGTTCTCCCTCCCGGGGTGCTGCTCCTAACGCAAATCGTCGCTCTAGAATTACTATTACTCTGCACATTACAGCGTTTGTCCCTTTTAAGGACAGCTTTAGCTTCCGAACCCGTTTCTTACGAAAGTGCCTGCCTCTAGACGTTCTCCGTGACCTCATTTGTGTCCTGTGCGTTGCGCTTCGCCCTTCTCTTTCCTTGCCAGCTTGCCGCCGCACCTCTCGGCTGCATTTAGCGGCGACGGGGCCTGTAGTTGCGCCTCGGCAAAGGCGTCTTTGTTGCGGAAGCCGACTCCGCTTCTCGCCTATCGGTCATTGCTCTACATGGAGGATACGGTTTTCTACTATAAAATATTATATGCCGTTCCTTAGTTGTGCAAGCCATAGGGACGACGGTCGTTGAAGTCGGCGGGTTCTACAAAGGCCGTTGCGGCGTTTGAGGCTGGCCGTAAGGCCGCCTCGACGGCGTTGCTTGCTTCCCCTCCCTAGCTCCCTAGCTTGCCTTTGGCTTGCATCCCTTCTTGTGTACCTTCCAGTCCTCCTTTTGGTGTTGCCTGCTGCAATACGCGACCGCCAGGCATCGGCTGCACCTCCTCGCCCCCGCCATCTCTCCACAAACCCGGCAGACCTTCCCCTCAGTGCTCTGTGCATCCTGCCCTTGCATTTGCTTTGCGCCCATACTTCCGTCCGCCTGCCCCGCCTCTGCCATCGTGTCCTGCATTTCCTGCCTCGCCCTTATTTCGCATCCTTCTTGGCCGCAGAATGACGACACGACCACGACCACAAACGGCCTCTGCATGTAGGTACGATATCGGGCTCTGTAGAATGTCCTTTGCGACTTCGCCGCAACTCTCGCAGCGCGCCCCTGCTGCCTTCCGACACGCCGCCTCGTGCTCCCGTAGGATCGGCCTTATCCACTGTAGGAACAGTGCGCTGGCTTCGTCGTCCGGCCTCGCCTGGCCTACCTGCGTCACGAGCGTCTTCGGGATGCTATGCTTGTACTTGAGCTCCGTGGCCCCGAATTCGCACCAGAACTCCACGGAAACGTTGCAAGTGGCCATGCTGTAGTTGTTTTCCTACCTGCTCGATCGGTAGCTAGGGTAGACGCTTCTGCTCTCCTATTCGTGCCTTGGTGCCTCTCTTATACTCCTTCCTCTCTTACCCCGCAACCGTTATCATCGCTGTATTTGCCTTCTTGCTTTTTCTCCTCTTCCCGCTGCGGGATGGTGCCCGAATGGCCGATTTATTTGCCTACCTTCTTGCATGCATTAGTTCCTGGCGCTACCGCCTGCTTGCGTTCTTTGCTCTGGCCCTCTGTCTTCGTCTTGTTTGTCTCAATCCTCAGTCTTCGTTCCTCAAGGCTTTTTGCGCAACCCATGAGGGGTTGCCTTACCTGTCTTTCCCGCCTCCTGATTCGCTGGCGTTCCCGCTCTGGATTCGTCGGTGTTCCTGCTTTTAATTCGTCATAATTAAGTAAAAATTATATAGAAAGGCATAGTACGTGCCTCTCTGCCAGTCGCCTCCCCTCCTCTTTTGCCCTCTCCCCTTGCTGCCCCTCTTCCCTTTCCCTTTCCCGTCCGTTTGGTTGTCTCTTGAAGGGCCCTCCTTATACTTATATGGATGCAAAACGCGGGCTGCCCACGTGGCCTGGTAGCCCTAACTATCGTTAAGCCGGTGGCGTCGCCGCAATAGCTGCTTGCTTTTGCCTACGGAACACGAGACCCGGCCTGAGATGCCTACGCCATCTACAACACAACTTTGACTACCGTCACGATATAAAACGTCGCTGCGATGGCCAGCCGGCCGTCTACGCAGCCCAAGACTCGACGCAGACTGCCCACGTGCGTGACCTGATAAAAGACTCGACGCATATTGCCTACGCAACCCTACGCATCTAAGACAGAGAGATTATGCATTTTGCCGGCACGCTACCTGCCATGACTATATATATATATTGCCTATGCAACCGTACGTGCTTAACCGCCAATATTAAGACGTAACGCCGCGGCAATGGCCAGTCATCCTTATAGGCCATTCAACACTCCCGAAGGCTAGCCTTCCTACGCTGCGGGCGGCGCGCCGGCGGCGCCGCCGTTACCCGCGGAGCCAGCCGGCCGCCTCCCGCGCCGTCCACCCGCTCAGCTCCTCCAGTCGGGCCTGGGCCGCCGTCATCTCCTCGGGCACCCGGTTCCCCACCAGGTCCCGCTCCCGCACCTCCGACACGAGCATGATGCCGTCGAGCGTCGGGCACCGAGACAGCTGCACGTATAGGCTGTACGGGTCGCACGGCGACGGCACCGCCCGCCCCTCGACCGTCGTCGTCCTCGCCCCCCTCAGCTCCAGCGCCACACGCTCCAGCGTCCCGCCCTGCACCTTGTAGTCGGTGCAGGCGAAGGCCGCCGCGCACGGCAGGCCCCTGCGACTGACGTCGCTTCGCTGCCACGGCCGCTTCCGCTGCGCGTCGATCTTGACGCTGATGGGCGTCAGCAGGATCGTCCCGGCAGGCATCCCGACGAAGTGGAAGTCCTTGGTCGTCTCCGAGGCCAGCACGATGCCCGCCGGCGGCCCGAATTGCATCGTCAGCTCCGCCGACACCCGGTGGCCGGGGAAGGCCCGGTCGGGGATGACCTCCACCGCCGTATACCCGGCCCCGTTCACCAGCTTCAGCCCCTGGTGCGTGTTCTGGTTCACGACGACCGGCATGCCCGGCACGAAGCCGAAGACGGCCGGCACCGGCGTCGCGCTGTCGTCGCCGTAGCCTAGCATTAGCGCCGCCTCCTCCTCCGTCGGCACGCCCCCCTTCCACTTGTGCTCGGAGAGGAAGACGCGCGCCGCCGTCCGTCGCTGCGCCCGGAACGCGAGCGCCGCCTCTAGGTTGAGGTTCCAGCGGTTGCGGTTGAGAGGCGTGACCACCGTCAGGCCCGTCTCCCACGGGATCCGCCTGCCCGGCCGGTGGCACCTCGAGTTGAGCAGCTCTAGGTCCGACCGGTCCTGCTCGCCCCGGCGGATCCGCCCGAGCAGCCGCCGCAGCTCCGGGTCGCCGGCGGCCCGCATCTGCTCGTCCAGCATGACCACGGTCGTGAACCGCCGCCATAACGCGTGCGCCTTGTCGTGCTGCCGCCGCTGCTCGGCCGCGAACGCCCCGTCCTCGTCCCACGCCACCGCCGCGCTCGGCAGCAGGATCGACCGCTCCTGCACCGGCCGGAACTGGTGGAAGTCGCCGCAGAAGATCACCACCGGGATCCCGCCGAAGTCTCGCGCCGACCCCCGCAGTCGGCAGAGCTGCTCGTTGGCGGCGTGCAGCGTCCGCGCCCCGAGCATGCTGACCTCGTCGATCACCAGCACCTCCTTCTCCTGCCAGTCCATCCGCGACCGGCCGTCGACGAAGCGCCCCCCCTGGCCCGGCAGCCGCACCGTCTATCTCCTCGTCGCCCTTCCCGCCTGGCCGCTCTGGCCAACCGCGAGGCCGCAGGCCGAGTGCAGCGTGATGCCGTTGATCCGCGCCGCCGCCGTCCCCGACGTCGCCGTAACCAGCAGCCGGCTCGATAGGTCCCTCCGGGCGAGCAGCTCGACGAGCGCCTCGATGACGCGCGACTTGCCGGTGCCACCCTCCCCGCCGATGAACAGGCAGAGCTGGCCGCCCTCGCCTGCCCCGTCGCCCGCCCCGTCGCCCTGCCGGATCCGGTCGAGCTGCCGGCATACGATTAGGAGGGCGACCGACTGCTGCGCTATATCTGCCGCTAACAAGCGGCCCGGCTGCGGCGGGAGTTGTGGCAGGAACCTCGGCCCTGCTGGCCGGCCGGGACTGGATGGCTCGCGGCGAGTGCTGGCTTCCGGCCGAGACTACGGCCGGGCTAGTCCCGCTCGACGGCGGCGAAGGGCCGGTGGCCCTCCATGTCGGCTGTGGCCGAATGTCCCGCGGAGCGTCCGAACTTCTCGTCGGCGGCGGCAAAGGCCCGGCGGCCTCTACCGTCGGCAGAGGCCGGATTTCCCTCGGTGCGCGCTCGCCTTTTCCCAAGACCCCGATGGCGCTGGACCCGTCTAGCGGCAGCCAGTGCCCCGCCGCCCTCGGTGTCGGCTGAGGCTGGATATCTCGCGGCGCGACTCGGCCTGCGCTGATCCTCCATCTCCCTAGTCCTGGCGGTCTTCCCCGCCCTCGCCTCGGAGGCGCCTCCCTTGAAACCTCTTCTTGCTTTCTCCGAGGGGCGCCGCGAGCGAGTGCCGGCGCTGCGGTGATCGGCTGGAACTCTGGTCCTGTGTACGGCGCTGCGCGGGCTTCTGGCGCCGGGCTTGCCCTGTCCCCCGCTCTGGACTGGGCCCTCCCGTTAGCTGGCTTCATCGCGACACCGGTCTACCGAGGCCCCTGCAGACCTATTGCCTTCCTCTGACTCCGAAGCTGAGGATCCTTGACGCGGAAACCGGGGATCCGACGAACTCGACAAGAAGCCTGAAGCGAACGCCAGCTAGGCATTGAGGGGCCTCATCATGGAGACGCCGGCTGAGGCCGTGAATATGGTGGGGCGAAGCGCGTCGCCTGCGTCGACACCCGCGAAAAGATCGACACGCGTCGTGAGGCCAAGCACCAAAGTCGAGAAGCCGCGCGACAGCCCGACGATCTGGCGGAGAAGACAACACGCGCAACTAGGCTTGCAACGCGCATTGCCTCGGACGATGTCGCCATCAGTGACGCGACTGAGCGGCGCAAAGTTGCCAGCAGCAGCGGTGGCGCGAACGAAGGCCGAGCCATGCTCCAGAAAGTTCTCGAACTCTTGAGCGAGTCACGTCAAGAAACGCAAAGCTCAGCCGAGCGATAGATGCGCAAAACGAGATCATATCCAACAGCAGATGATCCAGGAAATGGATCAACAAGGGAAAGAGATGAGAGATGAGCTTCGTCACATCCGAGCGCAGTTAGAGACCCTGGCTACGCCCGCATCTTCTCTGCAGAGCAGTCCGCAGATGTCGTATGCGAGCGCTGCAGGGTCATCGCCGACGATCCAGACAATGAACCGGGGCACCGTACCAGCAGCTAAATCGGCACGAACAGCCGTCAGCGATAGTCTCTACTGTACGGTGGACACATCACGAGTCGAAGAAGCGAACAGGTGCCAGACGCAGATCGGCAACATCCGAAAGGCCATAGAGAGCGACATGAGAAAGAGTCAGAGGCAGGAGACTTGGAAATGCGCAGCGGTCGTGACAGACGCTCGAAACCCCGACCGGATCAAAATTTTATGCAGAGACCAAACCGAGTTGAAGCAGGTCAAGGAAGCAGCGCAGAAGACGGTAACTTCGGGAGCCAGGGTACTGAGAGATCAGCTTTACCCTGTCAAAGTCGACAACACCAAGCGTACCGCAGTGCTGGACGCCGAAGGCAACGTTCTGCCGGGCGCAGCTGAGGCGCTCGGAGCCGAGAATTACGTCACGATTGCCAAGATCACCTGGCTTAGCAACAGAGAAAGCCAAAGCGTACGGGTCAATGGTGATCTATGTCACTAAAGAGAGTGACGCGCAAAGACTTCTGGACGGCGTGTGGTTCGATGTTGCGGGAGAGTCCGCCTGCACCAATGTTTTGAACGCCGCGTAGGACCGATTCAGTGCTTCAACTGTCAAGAGATGGGACACAAGGCGTTTTCATGCAAGAAGCCGCAAAGATGTGGCAGATGCGCGAAAGCAGAACATCACCACAGAGAATGCAAGGAGACAGTGCCAAAGTGCGTGCCCTGCGGTGGACCACACGAATCGTACAGCCGGAACTGTCGGGCGCGGAACCCTGGGGATGAGACGCAGGCAGCGTCTGGCCCTTCGGGCTAAGCGGAAGTAGAATCCACTTAGGATCGATTATAGCACTAACCTTCAACAATACTAACACACAGGTATTCGACTTCGATTTCGACAGACCGCGCTTCAGCTGCTGAAGGTAGGACGCTGAACACTTGGAGAAATTGGCCTTCAAGCAGGCCTGTCGCGGAGCGAGTAGCGGCGAGGTTGGTGTAGCGTATGCTGACCCGTGGGGCTTAAGGTGTTACGCATTAATGTATTGAAATATCAGTAGCTTTTACGTCTAGGCCCTATAGGAGAAATCCTCCGGGTGAAATACACATACATTGCCTTCCTCTCTTGCGCTTGTCCTCTTCAGCCCGCCCTACTTGTCGTGCTGCTAGGCTCCCGGCGTAAACCCTCGTAAGTGTAATAACGGCGTATAAGTCCTTGCCTCGACCATTCGTTCTGCACTCATCTTGCTGACTGGCACCCCTCCTGCGCGTACAGGATCCTCTACGAAAGACTATATATCTTACTCATCACTCTCTAGTACGTCTACAGGCGTGCCGCTGCTCTTTGCATTATACCGGCGCCGTCTTTCCATCGACCCCGCCCGCCATTGCCCACCCCTACGGGCGGCGGGCTAGACGGCCTCGGCCGGTCCTTCCATGTAGGTCGCCGCGATGGCTTCTTCTTGCCTGTGCTTTGCATGCCACGCTTTTCCTTCTTGTTATCTAGGTCTTGTCGGTCAAAGCCTCAGTGCGTCCCTAGACGCTTGCCTGCTGAATTTTGAACCCATGTCTTACACGTGTTGCGAATAGGGCTACCTCCTTCTCCTCGAACATAGCTTCGCGCGTCCTGCTTGTCTTAAAACCCTCGACGTCTTACTGGACCGCCTTTCAAAGTTTCCCCTTCTCCTCTTGTCGCATTTTCCTCTATACGCATCTTATAAACCTCCTTTATCTAGGCTCCTTATATAACCTACCGCTAACGCTACGTTGCGTCTTCGTTTATGATCATTTGGCTTCTCTAATACACCACGGCCACTGGCCCCTCCCTACTATACTAAACTCTTAAGACGGCATATAGGTAGGGAGCACTCCTGCCCCTCTTCCTCGCCGCTTCTAGCTTTGCTCCGGCAACGTTGCTCTTCCACTACACGGCCTCGCCATGTCTTCGTCTCCGTCGGCGGACAGCTCTGCCCCGCACCTCCGCAAGCCCCTTGGCACTAGCAAAGGCGCGGGCGGCGACATGTCCATGATGTTCTTCGCCCAGCCCGACTGCCCCGCGAGGTTCGCCCATCAGGACGAGCACCGCATCAGGGGCCTCAACGCCGAGGCCATCGCCCGCGTCCTTCTGCCGGTGCCCTCGTGGCTGCTGGAGTCGGAGTACGCACCCCTCCGGGCCGAGGGCGAGGACCTGGTGCCCTCTCTATTTTTTAGCCTAAACCTCTCCATCTACGGCCAGCCGGTCGTCGATACGGACTGGTCCGAGCAGTGGTTCTTCATGAGCGGCCGCGTTCACCCCTACGCCCTCTCCTGGGAGGTGGAGCGCCGCGACGGCCTCGAGGCCAGCCCGGACGATACTATTCTCTACACCGTGCCCGCCCTTATCGTCCGCGACCAAGGCTACCAGCCGTGCGCCCCCCCATTTTTCTTTTTAATGCGCCTCCACGCCGGCCGCCTCGCTGACTCTGCCCCCTAGCGTCCTGCCGCGTTTCTTGGCCTCTAGCGGCCAGTTCCCGTCTACGCCTCCCGTTGTCTCCTTCCATGGCGTCATAGCCGGGCCCCGGCTCGACCTCCTGCGTCGAGACTTCCTGCCCGATCTCGGGCCCGACCAGCTCCGCTGCTGCGGCTTCGTCCGGCTCACGACCTACATCGCCCCTGGACTGCCGGACAGGATTCCCTTTAAGGGCTACCACCCCTTCGAGGTCTTTGTTATCTTTCCCGTCTACGTAAACCCTTGGGCCGTGCTATGCAAGAAAATCGCTGAAAAGCCTAACTCTTCCTTCCTGCCCGGCGTCCCATTTACCTGCACTGGAAAAGTCGTCGGCCTTCTCGATCACCGCGTTATGCTCTGCCCCCCGGGCTCAGAGCGCGATTACGTCTTTATCGTCGTCCCGGACAGCTGGACCTTTGTCGATAGGCCCTCGGCGGCCGCCGCCGCCTCGGCTTCCCCCCTCGCTACGCCCCTTAGACGTCTGACCCCGTCCGCCTCCTCTACCTTCAATTCCGTCCGCGCCGCCTTGTACTCCGTTGCCGCGCCGGCCTCGGCCGCGTCGGCCCCCCCTTCCTCGGCGTCGGCCCCGACCGCCCTCGACCCCGTCATTGGAACGCGAGCAGGAAGGGCGGAGTAGGTCACCTGCCAGGTCACGTGGGGCATTCGGCTGAGATGAACCAATCAAGTATGGCAAAGAAGCTCTAGGCACCGCCTCGCAGATCATAAAACGAGCGATCACCCCACAACTATTTGTTACACCTTCCTGCGATCTTCCTACACGCTCTTCATGCCTGAGGCCGTCCACCGCGATGGCCGAGCCGGTAGGACTGGCTTCCGGGCTATTGGCCCTGGCTACGTTCGCCTTCCAATCCAGCATTACGCTTTACAGCACTGTCCAGAGTTTTCGAGACCATCCCAAACGTGTGCGCGATCTCATTGACGAGCTTGAAGCTTTGAGCGGAGTCTTAGGCCCACTTACGGAGACGGTCAGTGCCGTCCATACTGTCGACCTCTCAGCGCTCGATCGACCGTTGCTGCGATGCGGCCATGCCTGTGCAGAGTTCAATCAGGAACTCATGAAATGCGTGTCGCAGTCCGGGGGGGACTCAGACGACCTTTCGGGGGTGGGCTAAACTCAAGTACATGGGTGATGATATCGACGGATTTAGGCGGTTGTTATCCGGCTACAAGTCGACAATCACTATTGCCCTCACTGACGCCAATCTGTACGTTTCACGGTCTGCAAGCCACCACCCTCCATAATATAAACCATTCAGTAGCAACTCTAATGTTTATGCTGTGAATGTAGCCGCGTATGCTCTGCCACCGCCGAGACCATTCGAAGCTACAAAGACCTTGTCGAGACAGCGCACAGTGACCTCCGGGCTCACCTCGAAAGTATCGACGAGAAAATAGGTGTCTTTCTCGCAGACGCCATATCGGAGACCGGCTCAGGCGCGCCAGAATTGCAAACCATGCAGGAAGAGCGATTGAGCACGCAGCGATGCCTTGAAATTTGTGACCAACTGTCGAAGCATATCGATGAATTTCAGCTGGCCACCAAACGCAGTGGAAGCTCGTCCGAAAATGAAGAGCCAGCTACGTTCCCCGAAAAGGTCGTCAATGAGGGTCTGAATGGGTGCAGGAAGACCCTTGACAACACAGTCGTGAAACTGGGACAACACGAGAAGGATTTGTTCGATCGCTTGATGGGGAAAATAAAGAAAGTGCCTGCTTCTGAGGGGGATACTTCCGAGATTGCGAGGCTGCGTGAAGAATGGGAAAACGCGCGCCAAAGCTTGACCATTTGTTCTGAAGCAAACAAGCGCTTAAAGGAAAACATTAGCGTTATTGACAACTACGCTACAGGCGACGCCATGCAGTTCATGGTTTCGACTGACGGAAAGACGATTCACGGACAAAACAAGGGACTTGGATGGAGGAGCAGGCAAGTAGGGGGTCACCTTAGTGATGAAACGGTCCGGCAGATATCACGGGACATGATCACACTTAATATCCAAAGGCCCAAGGAGGAGGAATCTCAATCGCAAGACAATGCGTATCCTGGACCTGATGTCGGTGCCAAAACAGAGGCCAGGTCCCAATTTGGGGCAAGGTACGGGCGAGGCTTCATGCTATCGCCCAAGTCTTCTGATACACCCAAATCTCCTGTATCTTATTCGGGAAAGTAAACTGACTTTTGCGGACGAGGTTATGGGGGCAGGCCGTGGCCAGCCACATCTTTGTCGATTTGGACCACGCAAGGGACTATCTCTTCTTGACAGGCGGTTGTTGGTTAGGCAGCCATGCAGCGTTACTGTTCATGGCGGCGTGCCTGTATACGTGCGTCCAGTTGTTCAATCTGCTGATACGTCTTGCTCCCTGTGCCCAGAGTGTTGCCGCTCGTTTGGGGTTCCTTTGTAGTATTAAGCTACCATCCTAAGCTGGTGTCAGAACAGCGGTTCTGCGGCTCGTCCGAATGAGGAAGGTGGCAACAATAGTGGGCACACAGAAGAGGTCAATTGGAGCTATAGGCACGGCTGTGTGTGTGTAAAGGCGATGTGTGTGATGCCCCCCCTTCCGGCTAGGAATGTGCCCCTTTTGGGCCCGCAGAAATCTCAGCTGAATGCCCCACGTGACCTGGCAGGTGACCTATGCCGCCCTTCCTGCTGCGCCGTTCCAACAGCTGGCCATCTGTCACGGGCTGTGACCGGCATGGTCGACTAGGAAGCGTTCAAGCCACCAATGAACGGTCGACCCGTCAACAGAGGCTACTGAATACGCACTCTCGTCGACTGTGGATGTGACTGTTACGCCGTGATCACGTGGCATCTTCCCAATGACAGATTCGTGCTCGATATATATTCTTCGTGTAGCCGAAGAGTACTCGGACCCCTCGGCGCCTGCTTAGCGAGGGCGACCGGGCCTACCATGCCCCACCCATCGCCTGTTACACCCCCTTCACCGGTACCGCAAAAAGGTGCCTTGACCATACAAACTATATCAATTGAATTGAAGCTATTAGCCCATAATAAATTATTCAGCCGTAGGCTGACTTTACATTAATCGAATAAGTTTTCCCTAATATGAGGGTTTGGTGCAGCAGGGATCAGTTAAGTTTTCTGACATCTGATTGGTTGTATGGTTTCTAAAACGTAACTCAACTGGATGATGGCCTTCTAAAAGTGGGTCCAATTTTGCACTTGCCCCTGAATGTCACAGAGCTACTCTGAGCATCGCGGGTCGCCAACAAACCCATCGTACGCAGCTGCTTTCAACCGCAGTGAACCCTATGCCTCATCGAGGGTCTCAAGGTGGCGTGGTTTCCATCGTATGCATTCGCTGTGGCGAGGAGAAACCAGCGCAAGACTTCCTCGGCAGAAGAAAGTCGGCTGGGCACACCAAGAGCTGCTTGGGCTGCCGCAATAAGCGCGCCTATCATGTTGGCTTTATCTCGCGCTCCACAAGATGTTCAATGCTGATCAATTGAAGTACTCCAGGTCCAGACGCATAACCCAGACTTTGAGGGAGGTCGCGGTCCGTCCTTCCTCCGCTGACGGGCCTGCTGCGAAAAGAACAGACCGAGATGCTCGCTTACAACCCGAGCAAAAGATACCTAAAGCCCAGCCTACATCATCTGAAAGTTTCCAGGAACGTCATACAGTGAGGTTTTCTTCCGAGGACTCGATGAGCCAACCGCGTGTAGTGCTGGGGACACCACTGCCGCCGACCCAACAAAGTTCAGGGAAGGTTTAGGAGTTGGCAGGTTCTCACCAGAATCCGTATAAGAACGGTTAGGGGCTACGTAACTCCACTTGATGCTACCAAGACGTAGATGACGCAATGAATGCATGACTGTAGATTCTTGAATTTTCAGGCCTGCCTTACCGTTGACAGCAGACTTGCAGCCTTCGGCTGATTGTACGCCTTGCACCACTGCTCTAAAGTGCAAGGCGTGACGAAGTATTTTAAAAGAAATACTACTCTGTAGTGCTTTCAATGTTTAATTGCCGTGGACTGTTGGGTTTCTGGTCTGTCTCCGCCCATGTGTAAGAAGGCGACGAATCAGGTGGCTTTACCCTCCCCTTCCCCTCCTCCTCTTCAACCTGACCAAATGCACCTTCAATCGCATATATAGCACCTCTTCATCGCCCTGTGGAAGCATATAGACATTCCCTAATATATATCGGAGGTTTATGAACATATTATTAGGATTGGGGATCATTCTTTCCTTCCTTGGCCTCATGCGATGCAGCGTAGCCGCCGAGGCCTGAAATCTCTGATCCTTCAACACCAACTCTGCTCCTTGCGCTCAAACACTCTAGATATCTTTCTCAAAGTCTTCTCGAGGCTACTAGCTTCGAGATTTTCTAGCCTGTGGAGTTGTCGGCTCGTGCTCCTCGTAGGTCTAGCTTGGCGTATAGCATCCAAAACCATATTTCTCTGTCTGGTTAGACCCAGTGAAAATGACGCGTGACCTTGAAGCCACGGTAGTTGAGATCTAATGTTAAGATCTCCAGCACTATACCGCCGTCGATATCTTTACTGATGATATTTATCCCCTTTGGTCCGACATCGAGCACAAGATGCCGTCACCGGCGGTAGAGTCGCTCATACTGTCGCTCATACTGCCGTTCATGGTGCCGCGCAGGATTCCGTACGCAAGGAGGATAAACGACAGGGTAATTACGAGCTCAATAAGCCACAGCAGTTGGGTGACAATGATACTGACGACGATACACGAGACCGGCTGGCCGATCCGGAGCATGCTCTGGGTGCGGAGTGACCTCGAGGCGGAGCAAGCGGTAACGCAGTCAGCGGATTTGACGGCGGTAATCCTTCGGCTACCGGACCGAGATCTGATGGTAGTGTCGGTATACGTAGAGTAGAAGAGCGAGGTGCTATCGAGAGCGGTAAGAGAACTGCATGGATTAGTGGTGGGCTTCCGTGGTGGAACTGGACGTCGTCGCGGGGGACTTTAATCGCCACGATCTGCTCTGGGAGGCGATGAGGTAGCAACAAGAAGACAAGGGAAGCGCAGCCGATCATCGACCTGATGAATGACTGTGGGCTCTGCAGCCTGCCGCGAGGCACCAAGACGTGGCAGGGCCAAGACTCGGAAAGCACGATTGATCTAGTGCTTGCGTCGGCCGAACCGAACCGGCAGACGAGATGGTGACATGCAATATACACCCCATGGAGCACGGATCGGACCATACAGTTCTTGATGAGGGTGACGAACCGTATGTTCACGGGGCGTCCCCTGTCGCAGGTCGAGGTCGTCGCTCATCTTCTAGGATATCCAGCCGAATTTTCCAATGGCAGCGCCTAGGCGTACCTAAACACATACCGGTACTAGCTGTACTGGCACGTCTTTCGACGATTGCGGCATCTGCGACAAGTAGCGCATGGGTCACAGATGATCCCTGGATGAGTCGGTCGTCGTCGAAGAAGCAGGCCCCAGGATCTCCCGCGTCGAGGCATATCAGCACCGTGGAGATCTCCTGCGAGGCCTATGCCTGTACGACTACGTATCGCTGGTCAGACTCAAACGCAACAGCAACGACGGGAGCTGTGGGGCTAGGGGGGAGGTGCCTTTCGATGATGGGCGGGCACCAGGAAGACGCTGGGTTCAGGTGCTCAGGCGGCCGGGAAAGCAGGCCACCGTTTGCCTTGACGGCTACCTGAGCAAGACTTTGCCCACGACGAGGACTCGTGTCATCGGAGGTTTGCGCGAACCCGATTCGCCGGAGGATATGGGAGACGCTAATTTTTTTCCACCTTTGAAAGGGCAACCGTGCAGCACTTTGTGCTATTTGTACCATGGGAGTTTTTCATGTGCGAAGAAATGGGCGACATCAACAGCATCTGGGCGCGGGCGCAAGAGGCGCTGGCTCCGAGAATATCATGTCTCGACGACATCGTGCCGATATCGTGCGGCTGGTTCGACGATCAGCCGAAGACGCAAAACGCGACGCTAAGCAATGGGCATCCTCATCCGGAGATGCCTATCCGACGGTCGCACACGTGGAAGGGGCGGGACGGACGAGGCGGGCGCAGAATCAACAGCGACGTATCAGTCCAAACAGCATCGGAAACGCAACGCAGCTGATCGACGTCGTCCGAGGTGCACTGGACTCGAATCAGGTGACGGCCAAGTCGCCGGAGCAATGGCGATGATGCAACAGCTCTATCGGTTCCATCGATCAGCGCTTTCCTCGACGGCCGAGCTGCAGGCCGCCGTGGTACAGTACTCGAACAAGGGCGAGACGGATAAGCATGTAGGGCGTGTATTTTCCGGGGTCGCACTGCCACCGTAGGATCAGGTCAGGGCCACCAAGTCGCAGCAGATGAGTGCCTCGAAAGAGAGGGAGAGGATGATCCAAGGCATACAAAGTATAACCGTGGTCCGAGAAAGCGACTGCCGTGCTGCGTTGCGGAGGGTCATGGTCGGCTTAGCTGGCTTCGAGGTCGATGTCGAAATGGCGATGGCCGACTTCGACGAGACCGCAGACGACGTAGAGGCGGGAATGCAGGCTTGGCGGGCAGAGAGTTGGCAACACGGCCGACGCTGAACAAAACGCAGTCGATCGCTTTCCCAATCATATGCTGCCAGCTCGATTTGATGCGACAAAACGACGGAGGCGAAGTCGGCCAACTCTGCCAGTTCGTCGGTGGCGAGGGCAGGACTGGCAAGTCGCGAATCATCGAGGCATTCGTCGAGTTGTTCAGTAGGAGGAGCCTTTCGAATCGCCTGCTGATCACGGCGACATCAGGGACTGCCGCAGCGCTCATCAACAGTATCACGATCCACTTCCACCTGCGGGTTCTCCAAAGACTAAGGGCGGCCGCGAACACGGCCAGAGATCTTGTCGAGTGTGACTGCCAACCAAGCGGACCGGCTCGTCCATGGCCAGTCTCGGATGGATTGGCGGGAGAAAGACGCACTGGTCATACCATGCGCCATCTTCGTCAGAACATATTTCCATGTTATACCGGGACGCCGATCTATGAGCGGAGAATTGTTGCAACGCCGTGGTAGAGTGATGGTGAAGTCAAGAGGTTGGCGGAGGACTGGCATGACTAGATCACCAACTGTTGTAGAGGCGATTGGCGGGGAACGGGTTGGTCGAGGAAACTCGGGGTGTCGCTCCTAGACCCTTCCGCTGCTGCCTGGTGCTCGGCGCCAGCTCACTTTCTGGCTGCAGTGAAGACGATTTTGCTTACCAAGAAGGGGTTGCAGTCCTTACAGCTCAGTACTACCAAGCAGCCAGAAGCTAGGATGCTGTCAATCGCCCAAGACGAGGACTTGCTGCACTGTTGTGAAGCCAGAATCGGCCGCAGGTACGGTAACGGGAATCCAGGCACCCATGATGAGCGGAAGGGTCTAGGAGCGACACCCCGCGTTTTCTGTACCCAGCCTTCTCCCCGAACTTCTCTTTGCGACAGCTGGTAATTTTGTCCTACAGTACCAATCATCCGCCAACCACTCACTTGAGTTCACCATTATTCCGCCATAGGATAGAGCCGCTACTAGATGTCCAAAGGCACATGTTCAAAGGCTCATACCGGCGGCACAATCACAACCGCGGCCAGCCAAGTCCCTGCGAGCAGAGTCCCCCTGCCTGGCCGACCCCTGCCAGAAGTATCGCTTCCCAGAAAATGAGGCAATGACAACGACAATAACGACGACTTCGAAAGCGGTGTCGATACTCAGGCTGACAACCCGAGGGCACGGCCCCATCTAAGCTTGAAAGCTCACAGGACGACAGCCTCGCACAAACCAGCAAGCGTCAGGCAGTTGTATTCACCGGCGAACGACGATGACACCTCGCGCGAGCCCAGCTGCGTTTCCACTACAAGCGGAGACATGGGAGGCGTTACAATGACTGCCTGGCGGGGCTATAGAGCTTTCCAACCGATCAGCGGGAGCAATATTTGCCTTTACAAGTTCCATTATACGTGCTATCTCGCACTGAATGATCGCCTCTTCATTACGCCTGTTGGCCCTAACGGGGCAAGTATCTCTCGATACTGGCATGGGTGCAGAGGAGCACGCAGGCCATTGGACCATAGACCGGCCGCCACGTCTGGGAAACAACTTCATCCACTGATCCATCATCAGTCAGATTGATACCGCTTCACAAAGCCGCAGACGCTTCTGATTGGAGCACATTGTCACCTCATCGTACATCTCTCGGCCCGGAGGCTTGCTAGGCGGAGCCTACGGCGGTATGGCGGCGAGCCAGTCGTGGACAGCAGTCAGTGCGGCGGGTGGAGGGCTGCCAGCTCAAAGGTATGCTCGGCGATGAATTGCGATGTGACGGCGCGGTCTAGAGCTAGCCTCTAGATGGTAGCCAGATACGCCGGACGGAGAATGGCTTGGGGTTCTGGATTTGCGTCTCGTATCACACCGTTTCCGGGGCTGCCCACAGCGACTCGCATACCCGCAGGAGAACGAAAATAGGCGGAGGTGCCCTAACCACATACATGGCGAAGTTCCATTGCGCCGACATCACAGGAACGACATCCGTGTAGGAGAAGATCACGAGATGTCCTTAGGCGAGGGTTTGCCTATAAAGACCATACATTCCGACTCCATGTGTCTTCGTCTCCTCATCCTACCTCTACACTATCCTCGTCACGTATTTCCATCCTTCTCCACACTCTCCCGTCCACAGCGCCATGGCAAGTAAAGAAGCAAATAGCGACAAACTCACCGGCTGGTCAGCCTGGGGCGGAGAGGGTCAATCCGGGCCGAAATATATTCGCGAATACAATGTCGACGACTCCAGTTGTGATCCCGTTTTCGAAGGTCACATCGAATTGGAAGAACTTACCTATGTGAACGAGGCACTTAAATCCTGCCACATGCCAGCAGACAGTGGAATCGATCATGTCGGCTGTAATGAAACTGCCGCTGCGAGCACTACTTGTACATGTGGCAGCCTCTTTGCTGTGACGGACCGCAAGATCAGAGACCTTTGCTACAACGAGCACTGCGAAATTCGAAATCAGCTGGCCGACATCAGCTCTCGTCTCGGCGCCTTAGAAGCTCAACTTGCCAATACCAAACCCGTCTGTCAGGAGTGCCACAGCACCAAGGATCGCAAACGGCATGCCAAACAGGACCCGCAGCAGCAGCGAGACCAGCCACCTCATGGGCCCGCAGAGCAGGCGCTGGATGACGAACCACGCGCGCGTCGCCGAAGCGGTGGAAGGCATCGGAAGACTTGCCCAGAGGGGGCGAGCGGAGCCGCGAAAACAGTGAACAAAGTCAAGCTCTCACGGGTCTGGCTCGGAAATAACCAAGGGAGTGCCCGCCATGAGTATACGTTGAAAGGCCCAAGAGAGCATGGTGGAGGGGCCGGAGGGCTCTGGAGGTCTGAAACAATCGGGGCCGATACCACGCTGGAAGGAGTACATTTTGCGCTGATGACGGACGTTCTTTTTCTTGAAGTCGAGATTAACGGCGGCAGCCACTTTCCCATAACGCTGCAATGGAATGACGAGACCGAAGCCTTCGAGGGGCAGGATATGCTGAGGGAAATGAATCTCCTCATCGGTTACGACGAGATGTTTGAGATGCTCTGCAACCCCTATCAGGCGTGTAGGGATTGGCGGGTTTGTCAAGTATGAGTACAAGGGATCACAATAGTCTGCTAGAGCCTAGTCGTACTGTACGGTTTGCAACGAGACGCAGCATTTGTTGCAGATACGAGTGGGATACTACTTTCTGGAAATAGCGCTGGGGCAGAGATCAAGTGACAATATACATGCGCCGGTTGCCGTGAAGCCGTTTTGGGTTGGCACAGGATGCCAAGGAGGTCGCATTCGAGCGTCCAGCCGTGAACATGTTTTGCCGTTCATGGCTATTGCGTTGCGAGGTCAGTAGTCCCACCCTAACCTTCGAACTAGAGGTGCCGAATCCAGTCACGACAAATAACTTGGCAAGGCAGAATGGTACTTATGTCGCAAGGGCTGTCAGCCGCAGCGACGAGATTCACGACGTCGTCATTAGACGGAGCAACCCACCCGCATGCTACAAGTCTGAGTTCGCCTCGAGGGCCATAGATTCAGTGGAAATGGAGCAGGGAGGACATCGTTTATAAGTTGGATTACGACTCCCTCCGCTCATCCCAGAGCTTGTGCTAAGACTCATTCCGTCATACATTCGCCATCCTCTGGTTGAACAGCCCTGGACTACAAATATTCAGCCAATATGCCATTTCTGTTGCATCTCTTATGTGAACTCCTCAGTGAACTCGAAAGAAATCACACGAGGTCTTTCAGTATTCAGAAGACCCAGGACTTCGATGTGCGCAGTCTTGTTGGCTGGTTCGACAAACATGATACAGCCATCCCACGTCTAGGGTCAGAAGCCGTGGCATTCTTGTCATGCCTCTTTCCCGAACGCAGGCCGGACCGAGTTTTCGGCTTGTCAAAAATTCAGCTCGAAAGGATTGTCCAACAAGCACAATGTCTTGGATCGTCCCGAATGAAGGAGCTACAGATATGGCAAACCAGGAACGGCCCGGACTTCGCAACTTGTGTTGAGCGCGTTATGGCTATAACGGACTGCGAACCAAGGATGGGTCCGAAAGTGACTCTGCAAGAACTTGACGATGTGCTCGATCGGATTGCAGCCTTCTCACCTTTCTCGTCCGCTGATCTGCGAGAAGAAACTGAGCGGAAATACCGTCAACCCTGCAGCAGCTCGGACGATCTGCTCATCAGGTTGTTCCGAAGATTGAACAGCTTTGAGGCCAAATGGCTGGTTCGCATGCTATCCAAAAGGCAATTGATATACGGGCCCAACCACTTTTACGGTGGGCGATAGGGGTCACTGTTGCAAAACTCCCTGTCATTTTCTTTTGGGTTTAGGCGCCCAGCCCCCTGGTCATCCGGATACTTCAGGTCAGCATGAGAGTATGTACTGCGGACTAGCAGCGGGCCCGCACGGTCATCCCTCTGCCAGTCTAATTGCCAGTTTGCCGCACCAGTCGTAAAATGGTATCCGGCTCGCAAACCACTTACACACGTATGGATGCGCATGATGCTGTACCCAAAATTCGTTCCTGAAAAGCTGATCGATATTTTTCCAAGTGAAATCGAGCGAGCGGCGCGGTGTTTTCGCCAACAACTTTACTTTGGTATTGTCGCGGCCCGAAGACAGCGACAATACCAAAGACAAAGACGGCGAATATCGCCAAGTCCTCCCTGGATGACGCTGGGAACTTGTGAAAGCCGGGCCCTACAGACAAAGAATGCAAATACACACGAGAGTTTGAGGTCTTCTGCTATACGGTGCCGAGTTGAAACTTTGGACTTTAATGTTTCCACTTCCTCCTGGCCACCACAGCTGTGTTCAGTTTTCATCCTAACGTTCATAGGAGTAACTGGGACGAGGAGCGGCGCCATGAGGCAGCAGAGGATTACCGCAGTAATCCCGCTACTGGTCAGCACCGGACTAGCGTTGAAGTCTCTTGCTAAGCCTGGCGATCTTCATTCGCCATGGCAAGGGGATATTGTTCTGTAACTATTCTGCTTATATTAAAATCCCGTTTCCGAGTCCGATCCTATTTGTCCTCCTTTTCCCCTGGTTCTACCTCTTCTCCTCAACCGAAATGGGCCTCCACAGATTCCCCTGAGCATGTCTACTGCGTCCAAGCCGGACAGAAGCACTATGACCTCTTCACTACCATATACGTTGGCGCGAACTATTGCGGCCGTTGCGGCTTGGCCAACCCCTTTCGGCCGCAGCGTCGGGCCAGGTCTAAAACTCCGGCACTTCCTGGCCCATATGATGAGGTGGTCGAGGTCGAGGACTCTCCGCCACGGCCAGTCAGTCCAGCAAGTCAGCTGCTGCGTGACAGACTGAAACCAGTGTCATCCATCGGCGTTGGACACGCCGCCCAACTACTCCCAATGAAGTTGCTGGTACCGGTGCGATGAATACACGGGCACGCATACCTCCCTTCGAGGCGTCAAGCAATCCCCAGTTCATGACCGTCGCATCAACGGCCAGTCGAGCCATTCAAAACTCCAAAGGCAGCACCAGGAAGCCTGCGAGGCAACGAACTGGCTACCAGTGGGTCCATGTAAGCCTGCTGCTTGTGAGTTTGGAGACCAGGTACTTCAACGGGCTTGCAGTGGAGGTTCCAGAGACGGTGCTGCCTCTGAAGGATACGGTGATCAAGTTTCCTCGGCAGATCTACTGACTTGGCCTCGTTCACCGAGACTTTATTCGATCACCTCCGTCCGCTTCCGCCCACGATCGATCCTGCCAATAAAGATCTCTGAACCTTTCTTACGCTTCGACCTTCTCTGGCAAGAAAATCGTTACCGTTCCAAACACCGACAAGTACACGACACCGTCAAGCATGCTCGCATCGGGGCACTTTTCGAACAACCAAGCAGGGCAGTTGAAGGTGCTAGTCGTTCTGACATCCACGGATGTGGTTGATAAGCAGGAGCCGGTCACACCGTTGAGGCCAGATCAATGCTCGACGCCAGTCAAGGAAGACAAGAAACGGAGGGTCAAGCAAGAAGACATAAGCCCAGCCTCTAGACGCAAGAAGCGCGTTAAGCAAGAGGAGCAAGTCAAGGAAGAGATACGCGTCAAGATTAAGCACGAAGAGCCCGTTTCAACTTCATCCTGCCAGAGCCCGACACGCGACGAGCTTGGATATACTGCCAAAGAAATTGTTGGACATGGGGATGCGGTAGGCCTTGGTGAGCTGGAAGATCCACTATGCGATTTAGTGTTTGGCAGTGACCCTAGTGGAAAGGTGTATAAAGGCGTGGTGGCCGAAGGAGTCGAAGTGGACGAAGAAGATAGAGAGGAGGAGACCAGTTTTGTTCCGGAGTTCGTAAGAAACCGAACCAACTCATCAACGAGCCGAGCGCTAACTTCAACAGGTAAACCCGGAGTCAATTTCCCAAGCCTTCAGGGAAACTCAAACTCGACTGTCCGACACTAACGCTGCTAAGCGCTTCCTCCAGCTCACTCTACACGCTTCAAGGGTGCAAAGATCCCTACAACGTTTGCTATTCGATATAGGAAAAGGAAGTATTGACTACTCAGGCTCCCCATTCGAACCATCGCTATCCTCCCGTCATCACTTACCGGTATTTTCTCCATGTCGCTTCCTGCTCGTCCTCAAACCCAAGCTCAACAAGTGGCTGCTCTGCTGGTTCCCCATCTCCAAATTCACCTTCTCGGGCTTGGTTTGCTTGCTCAAGTAATGCTTGCTATACGCGCTTAGATTGGTCGACTCGCAAATAAATAGTATGTCTTACATATTCAGCAACGCCTCCAGTTGGCGCTTTACGGTATGCCAGCGTAGGCTGTCGGCCACTTTCGATATGTTGAATTATCTTATCTCGAAGACCAAGGTAAAAACGCTTGAAAGGTCGCAACTTGTCCGGCTCCTGGTGAGTTCCAAGGACTACGTGATCGTAGCCCATTTCAAGGAGAACTTGGCGGCACCAGTTCTTTGTCTCCGGCTCCAAACTCGTGCTAATGTCAATATCAGCCAACGGCCGCTCCATTTCGTCTAGAATGGAGCGGTCAATCGATACCCCAATTGCATGCCTTGTCTGGGTCGGGGTAATGGTAGTTCATCCAGGGCTGGCCGTGGACCACATGGGGACGGTTCTTTTGGAGGCGTATCCGATGAAGATTCCACGCCTCCACGAAGTCGAAGAGTTCTCGGCGTAGTAAGTCTTCGAAGACGGCGTAGATGGAAATCTGATCTTCCAGCATATCGCCGTCGAAGTCCCCGTCCCTGGCGAGTTCTCCAAAGTAGTCTACCCACTGCCGGGACGAGACATGCAGCATGCGCTCCCACCAACTCTCGATCTTAACGTTCTTCGTACTTGGAGCCGCCTTGTACGAATCCTTTAGTCGATTTCCTTGTTGGAAAACTTGCCCATGCCATTCCACTCGCCCGTCTGTTGCCAAGACAAAGTTCCAGTGTGCTGCTGCGACCAATGGCGTTTCGCTCCCCCTGTCTGCTTGCAAATACCATGGCCGAAAGCCGTAGGCGCCACACGCGGCCAAGTACTGCTTCAATACGCTCAAAGCAGTTGTAGCGGAGTGCCAATATAAAACCAGATAATGTTGCGCGAGTATGCATCGATTGCTGCATATATCTCGAATCCATACGCCTTGAGCTTGTCGTGACCGTCAATGCACCACTGGTAGTTTGGTCCTGGGACAAGAAACTGTCCCTTCTTCCTCCGAAACATCCTTTTCGGAGTTCGACCTCATTTGGGAACATGATTTTGTACATCGCAAAGAGGGTCTCTCGGGACCCAGAGCTGCTTTTGCTGACGAAGATAAGGCTGGAGAAGGCTTTTGCCATATCCCGAAATGGCATTGGACCGTCGCGTCATCTCGATGATAACCTGTTCTGTCTTTTCCAGCAACACAAGGCGCTCCTCGTCACTATTGAGCCTGCGTACCCAGCGGCGGTCCGGGTGAAGTCTGATGCGCTTTAGACCTCGTTTCGTGATCGGCCAGCCTTGTCTTTGTAGCACGCTCAGCGTCTGCTTCTCGGTAAGCCCAACGCGAAAGATCAGGTCACGGATGGTTTCTATCAGCTCTGGAGTTTCTTTGGTACGGGCTTGCTGGC